CCTTGCGCTCGCGCTGCTGACAGGGGCCAGCGGTCGCCCGCCAACCTCACCGCCGAGGGCATCTGCCGCAGCGCCATCGAGGACAGCATCGCGGCGGCGGCGCGCGGCAGCGCGCAGCCGACGCAGCGGTGTTCCTAGCCCTGCGCGCGCGCTGCTGGCAGGGGCTGCGCCCTCGTCGCCGCCCCGTCCGCCTGCGTGGCTGGCGGCTTGGGCCGCCCGTGCCCTGTTCCATCATGGCCGCGCAATCATCAGGAGGGGAAGAAACACACAGACACAATCAATCGCCGATCCCCAGGAAAATATGAGAAAATATGGGAAGTGGGGGGGAAGACAGAAACCCAGAAACTATAGGAAAATATTGGGAATATGTTTACTTGTGTGTATTTATTGGTGTGTCCTGGGCCCCTTCATCAGGTTGCGGAAGGTCAGGTGTTTGCGTTCCCTCTTAAAGGCGGGCTCCCGGGTCTCTATCCAGGAGACGCACGGCCGCCTTGCCGGCGTCAATGATTTGCCCCACCAGCTTAATATCCCTTTCCTCTGCTGCGTTCTCCCTTCGCCCCGACGCCAGCGCTGGTGGCGCGTTGGCGTTGCTCCCCACCTTTTCCTTCTCAGAGGACAGGCTGAGGTGCGCAGCCCCCCCCCCCCCCCTACGACGGCGACGGTTCCGCCGGTTCCTGGGCGAGCGTTGCGCGCCGAGATCATTGCCGACAAGGAAGCCTCCTGGATTTCCCATTTCAATGTTCATAACTTCGGCCTGTCCGCAGATGAGAAGAAGGCAGTTCTTGCGCAGATCGCTGCTGAGTTAGAGGCAGCCTCGGGAGACCCGCTGAACAAGTGCGCGCGCGTGGCGGGGGGCCTCGACCTAGCCTCGCACACGTCCGTTCCTCTTTGCAACGATCAAGGTCCCTCCGCTCTTCCTGAACCCGTTCCCCTCCCCAACCATGGAAAGCTGCGTTGGGCCGCGCGGTGGAATTTCAGCTCTCGGCCCCCTCCCGCTACAACCGCTCCCAGCGAAACCTCACGCACATCGACCGATCATTTTGTTCGGCCCCTGGATGGGTCTTTTCGCAGTGCGCGACAGGGGGCGAAGTCCTCGATCATCCCGAGGTCTTGCATGCATCGAGGGTCTCGGATCACGCTGCTGCGACGGCGACGATCCAGGTGCCCCCGCCTCTCCCTCCTGCGGGCCGTCCTATGCCGCGGTAGATCTTCCAGACCGACGAGTATCGGCAGTTTTTGCGTGCTGCATGGGGGGCGGCTCCTGCTGATCATCTCCCCCCTCCTCTTCGTTTCGATTATTGCAAGTCTCTCATGGGAGCAGCGGCGCAACGCGCGAGGAACGCGATCATTTTGAAACGACATAACTGTTCTCTAGCGAAGTATTTGATGGTTCGGGGGATGGCCAGGGCGGCATTTCGTCGTGATTGTGGGCTCGCTCTTCTTCTTCATCGCTCTCATCCTCTCTGCCTCGAACACTTATGCCTCGACCGCAACTCTTGATCCGTCTCGCTCTCCGACCCTGAGGCGTTCACCGCGCCTTCGAATGCTCTCTATTGGGAAGGCGCCCAATCGGCTACTAAGACGCTCCAGGCCGAGAACAGAGCTGCGGTGGATCCCAGCAGACAGCTTCGTACCAGGCAGCGCGCAGCTCGACAGAGAAAACGAGATCTACTTCGGGCCCCGCGTGGCAAGACGATGCCCCTGGCTGGAGTTCGAGCCCTTGGAACCCAACATGTTGAACATCGCTCCAAGCAGATCCTGGATGCGTTGGCTAACCACTGGGCCCCAGTGTTTCGTGCCAAACCTTTTGATGAAGAGGCCGCATCTGCTTATCTGGACCGCTTCGAGCTGGCGATGCCGCCCGACGCCTTGCCGCCGCCGACCTTCGGTCACTTTTAAGCGGCGCTTGCGCATATTGTCCCGCGGTGCGCCTGGCCCCGACCTGCTGCCCTACAGCGCGCGGCAGAGGGCCCCGCTCGGCGACGAGATCCTGTTTGAGAGCCCCCAGTGGGTCCTAGATGGCCACTCGCTCCTGTGCGGGCTTAATTTCCTCGCGGGCGCATTTATCCCAAAGGGGGGAGAACCTGGTGAGAGCGTTGGTGGAGGGATTGTTCGAGATGCTGGAGATGCCCGCCCCTTGGGGCTCAAGAGCTGCGATGGCAAGATTTTGATGGGTCTCTGTGCGCGCGGGCTTGCGAGATCCCTGGCCCGGTGCGCCGACCCCGCCCAGAACGGTTTCGCTCCCCGCCGCCGGTTCGGGAATGCTACTATTGAGTTGGATGGCCTGGCTCGGATCTTCAGCACGCGGCCCTCGCCAGCGACTTCGCTTCCGAGTCTTAGCTGCTATGATTTTGGGCAGGCGCTTCCGTCGCTTTCTCCGGGCTGGCTGTCTATGGTTCTGCGTCGTCCGAGTCTCCCTGGCCCGCTTCTGGACTGTCTGACCTTCCTGTGACAGGGCGTCGTTTGCGTTGGCCCCATAGGCGGACACACCAGTGTACTTTTCCAGGTGCCCAGTGGCATCATTCAAGGATGCCCAGCGAGTGGGTCACTTTTCGCGTGGGGCATGGACCCGTTCACGCTAAACTTCCGCACCTTGATCGAGAACGCCGATCGAGGAGTTTCCCGATCGTGCGCTGATGATATCGGCGCTGTGCTCAAGAGCTTGGACTCCCTCCCCTTCCTCGGCCAGGTCTTCGAAAGTGCCCGATCGCTCGCCCACCTGACCGTCAAGGTCCCCGAGTGCAAGCTGGGTCCCCTGGCAGGCCCATTCGCTGATGAGATCGCAGTTGCGCACGAAAACCGCATTGCCGACCTGGCCCCGCGGTGGACCTCGATAAATGTGGTTCCGATGGTTAAATATCTTGGGATGTGGATTGGGCCAGAAGTTGACCCCGGAACATCGCGGAGCAAGCCGTTCGAAAGATATGTGAAGCGTTCAAGATGTATTGCGCGCTTGGGAGCACCCACCTCTACGACTGCGTCGCTCTATTCTGTCGGAGCCGTCACGACGCTCTCGTGCGCTGGCCAGTTCCAGCCCCTCCCTGGCAAGCTTCGCCGGCGCGAGTACAGTGTGCTGGCATCAGTATTTCGCCTGCCGTTTTGCTGCTTCTGCCAAGGATCGCGGAGCAATTTGCACCCGTGGGGGGGGGGCCGAGAATCCTTAGCCTCTGGATTCTCAACGCTGTCCAGATTATTCGGGCCGCTCTTTTTTCTTTCTCAGGATGGGAACAGATCGCCGCCGTGTCCACATAGCCTGTGCAGACGAGTACTCTCTGGCACGTTCGATCTCAGGGCAACCATGGCCCAGCTCCTGGCAGGCACCCGCTCTCGCCGCGAACCTGGAAGCTGCTGCGAGAGGTTTCCCTGAATGGCCACGTCTCCGCCCTCTTTTCTGCCAGGCCATTCGTGAGCTTCGGGATGTCCAGCGAGCTCGTCCTCACCTAGCTCCCCCTGCTCCTCACCCTCAACGTATCCTCTATAGAGAAGTTCTCCTGCAAGTATACCATGACAATCTTCGTGCTCTGTTTCACAAACGCCTCCGTCGTTGGTTTACATATAACGTTGATGAAGTCGATGCCGTTCCTTGGGATGAAGTGAAAGCCGCTCTCTCCTCCCTCCCTCCTGCCTGGTCCTTCGCCATCCTTAAGACATCAGCGGGTGGGTGGATCACGTCAACACGTTTTCAGGAACAGAATCTATGTATTTTTGGGTGCAACACGCCCCACAGGTTCTCTCACACCTTGCGGTGCCCCCATTTCTGTCGCGTTCTCACCCTCACCGTCCATCGGCCCCTGCCCACCTGCCCCATCGCCCGATTCGGGCTCCTCTCCCCCTCTCGCGACTCCCTTGTTGTTTGTGTTTTCGCCTCCTATCTTCATGATGCTCTGCGTACTCTGCCTGTCCATCCTGTTTCCGCCGAAGCGCGTCGAGCCGTTTTGCGTGCTGTTCGCCATCAGGTTGCCCGCCCCGCAACCATCGCGAGGCCAGGCGCTCCTCGTGGCAGTGGTTGAGATCATTGGACACTGTCCCCCTGGGCACGCTCGAGGAGGAGGGGGAGGGGATGGGGCGGGGGGGGGAAAAAAAGGGAAGGGGGGGGGTGAGGCGGCCCAAGAGGGGACCCGGCTCCGCGCCGCGCGGAGCCGAGCCTGCTACAAGCTGACGCGGCCCCTGGTGGAGAGCACCTCTGCCCCTCGATTTCGCAGGGTCGTTCGAGGGTTTCCCCTTTTGTCCCCCATCACCCCACTTCCACGCCTCTCCCCCCGTCCTTCCTCTTCTTCCCTGCCATATCCATATCCTCCCTCTGGCCTCGTCCTCCCTCGTCGTCGTCGTCGTCGTCCTCCCCCGCCTCCTCCTCGTCCTCCTCGTCGTCGTCCTCCTCCTCCTGCTCGTCCTCGTCCTCGTCCTCTTCCTCTCCCGCCTTCTCCTCCTCCTCCTCCTTCTCCTATTCCTCCTCCTCCTCCTCGTCCTCCCCCCCGCTGTCGTGCCCCCCGCGCCCCGCACCATCGGCGAAGTGGCTGGCCGCCCGCGGGAACTCGTACGGCGGCGCGCCGTCATCGAAGTCTCGCCCCACGGGTTGCGGTGCAAACGTGGTCGCCCTCGATTGACCGATGTCTCGGGATACCCGTGGCAGCATGGGGCGGATGATGATGGTGATGGTGGCGATGCTGATGTTGTTGATGATGATGACAATGATGATGCTGATGATGCTGCTGCTGATGATGATGATGCTGATGATGCTGGGAGGAGGAGGAGGAGGCGGAGCAGGAACAGGAGAAGCAGGAGGAGGAGGAGAAGCAGGAGGAGGAGGAACATGAGGAGGGGGAGGAGGAGGAGGAGGAGGAGGAGGAGGAAGCGGACGAGGAGGAGGAGGAAGAGGAGGAGGAGGACGAGGAAGAGAAGGAGGAGGAGGAGGGTGAGGAGGAGGAGGAAGAGGAGGAGGAGAAGGAGGAGGAGGAGGAGGAGGAGTGGCGGGGGAATGAGGGGGAGGAGGAGGGCATGAG